ATATATTGTGTTATAGAAATTACATTTATTTTATGTTTCTCTGCAAGACTTTGGGGTTTGAGATGAGATTTTAAAATTTAAGAGTTTTTTTTATAAAACATTGTTAGGATTTAATATTAATTTTTTAAAATTAGTTTTTGATTTTGGTTAAAAGAAAACTAGGAATTAAAATATTATAGTATTTTTATTTTTTTTATATATAACTTGGATGCTGTATAATTGGAAAATATATGTGGTATAGCGCTCGCACAGTTTCTCGGTCAATGGAAATAATGAAATTCAAATTTTCAATTCTTTCAATATTTAGTTTTAGGTTTTAATTCTTTTGAAGAGATTCTATCACATTTATATTTTATATTTTAGTTTTTTTTCTTGTTTTGTATACGTATTCTGATATTTTAATACTATCGATTATTATTCAACATAAAAATTTTAAAATTAAAAGTGTATATGTAGAAATTTATAATGATAACATTAATATACTCAAAATAAAAGGTTGAAGTCAATATATATATATATATATGATACACTAATTATTTATATTATATATATATATTATTAAATCATATAATTAAATTAACAAATTTTAATGGATCACTATGTGTTATAGTTAGTCTGATCACAAAATTCTATTTGGCAAATAACTTCCCATATCATGGTTGGATCTCTTCTTCCATATGTACTTTATCATCGCAAAAATAAAACAATATATTTTCTAAATATAATTTTTAATAGATGTAAAGGCATCTAAGAAAATGTTATATATCAAATATTTAAAAAAATGCAAAATATAATTTTGAAAAATATCCGAAAAATGCGGAGACAAAGGCAATCAATGCTTTTTTTTTTTTTAAGTTTGTAGAGGTTCATTTCATCCCACGTTCTTCTTCAATGATTGAAACATTGAAAACCCTAATACAGTAATACCCACCAATTGTACGTTTTACCCGTTAATTTTTTTGAACTTTTTACTTTTACCATTTGGGATAAAAGGGTAAAAGCATAATTTGATATGTATATCATTAACCGTAATGAAATCAAAGGTTCCTCCATTGAATGTTATTTAGTGTTCAATGATTTGTAGAGGTTGATGGATGGAGATAAGAAAATTTATAAAATAGATAAATTGATTAAAAGGTTGGAATCCCATGGAACAATGACTTAACTTTTTATATAAATTAGAATTTTTATTTTTGTAGTTTATTGGTTAACTAGCTATATTGGGCTAAAATGATAAATTAAAAGAGATATTATAGAGAGAGAAAATCTAGCATAAATTATTTTGTTGGAATATATTTCAAATTTCAATAACCGTATATGTATAAAATTAATAATCAAATTTTCAATCTCAAATATTGTTTAGTTATACAAATACAAAACATTAATTAGAAATGAGAAGGACTTAATGATATTGCCATTCTTTGAATATCTTTTAGTAGTAGTAAGATGTGTTCGTGTTTGAACGATTTTGGTTTTAATTATTTAAATTGATATATAAATTTAATAGAAATTAATATTATTTTTTTAAGTGATCCTTCTAATAAAATCAAACTAATATTTTTTTTAATCATGTGTTAGTCTAAATACACAAATTGTTAAGTCTATCATGCACATCTTAATTATAACTAATCGTAGTCGGATCTCCAACCTATATGTATATAGTTATGTATTTTTATTCGGGCCAAAAAAATTTTGAATCGTCCCAAGTCGCTCTAGTTCGCAAGCCGAATAAAAATAAAAAATATTAAATATAATTTAAAATATTAAAATATTAATTAAAAATAATTATTAATATTTTTAAAAATAATAAAAACATTATTTAAAATTGATAAATCTTTTTAAAATTATTAAAAAACTATTAAAAATAAAATATTTTTTTTGTCTCGTGAGCCAGTTCGTGGGCTTGCCGAGCTGGATCGGATGAGCTCGACTCGTGAGAAGGTGATTCGTTCGGTCCATTTTTATTTAGGCTCAAATTTTCTTGGCCCAGGTCAGGACAATATGGACCGGCTCGCGATGTGAACTCATTTTGATATCTCTATATATATATATCATATATAATATACGTAAGTGCCTTCAAAATGACAATGGTTCAAATATGAGTGAACTTTTCTCATATATATAACATTTTTTATTTTTCAAGTGAACTTTTCATAATGTTTCAAATATGACTTTGGGGACAAAAGAGCTGGTGCTAACGGTCCAAGCCAGAGTGATGGGTATATATACACAATTACACATGATTAATTAAATAATTTATTTTCCACTTTAAATCCCTCCAAATAGGGTCAATTTAGCTCAACGGTAAAACCATTTAACGTGGAGTTCGAGGTTGCGGGTTTGAATACGTCTTTCTACATAAAATATAGGGGTAAGGTGACCTAGTATATTATTTTTCTCAACACTGGGGATATGAACTGGATTGGTTTTTTTTTTTTGTAAATGCCTTCAAAATGACAATTAATATCATACTATGCCACCTGGAATGATTATTTTACATAATATCATTATTTTTTCCATTTATTATTTTGTTATAGTAGATCTATAGAGACCATATACACTTTTTTAATAAACATTACAACAACGTAAAAAACATTGAAGTTTTAAAAACTGAACCGGAAAATGAATGGGAAAGTAAATCACATCATAATGTTTATTTGGCTTTTATTGTTATATAATTGTACAATTAAGATATCTAGTGAAGCATTGGTTTTAAGATATTGTTTTAAGAAAAATATCTTAAAATATTATTATCTTTTAATATATTTTCTATTAAAATCTTATTTATCTATTATAAAAATAAGCTTAACTATCTAAAAAATATTAAAAATATAATTTTATTAATTTATCTTAAAAAATCAAATCGAAAATATTTAATTTAATAAATATAATAATATTTTTATAATACAGCTAATTAAAATTTTATTTTGTTATTTTTTGTGATGTTTTCTTTTGGTTTATTCAAATTCTTCCAATCCTAAATTTGTGCATTGTATTGACTAAAAAATTCTTTCGCGTCTAAGAAATTGAAAAAACATGTTATTTACTTTTTCCTTACAAAAATTTAAATATGTTTATGAGTTATAACTAATCGATTTGGCTTTAATCGGTGTTCACATTTATCTCATAGATGGAACTTTGCTGTAGAGGAAGAATTTCAAATAAATTAAATAAACATGATTTGTGTATACTAATTTATAAATACTATATGGATTCAAAATATAATAGTTATAAAAACCTAATTAGAACAAATATTCTGATATTAATGTAAATATTTTGTTTATATTAAATTATTTAAGCTGAAGCTTTTAAAAACTAGACATTATCTTTATAAATTATTGACGTTATTAGCAAATTTATAATTTATCAATATATTGACGTCAATAGTTTTTGTTTAAAATATTAAAATATAAATACAAAAAATAATGAATTAAAACTCTGATAGAAGTATAAAAATATATCTTTATTAAAATTTTGTAAAGATTCAATAATTTGTTTAATATTATATTATTTGTTAATAATATGACATGTTTAAATGTTTCTAAATAAAAAATGTTATTATATTTATTGTTCTTTCAAAAGAAAAAGAAAAAGTCTTCAGCTTTTTCACATAAACAAATATCGCTGCCGTAAATATTGGACATAAACTTTTCACAAAAAAGAAAAAGAAAGTTTTTGAATACTCGCATTTATCTTACCTTTTGGCGAGATTTCATCTTCAATTTATTGTGAGAAACGATGGACTTAATATCAACACAATCCATAATTTTCATCAATATAAAATTTTTCATTTATGTGGTATATTTTTTTTCCTTATAATGCCCTTTGTATACAAAATTTTAACAGTGTAATATAGAATTTGGAAACAATGGTATAATCGAGAAAAAAATAAAGACAATAACTCTTGTGTTATATCTTTGGAATTAAAAAGTAATTTGATGATGATAAGATGGGAATTCGAATTTAATTTAAAATTTCAAAATATCAGATACGAAAAAAATAATTGAATAACAGCGTCCTGAAAATAAAATCAATATATATATATAATACATGAGGGACCCCTCCCCTTCAAAGTAAGCGAAGTTTCAATATATAACCGAGATTGCGGGTTATGTTCGGTTTATTCGGTTGTGATTCGGATTAAAATAAACATATTTTTTTATACGATCTGATTTTCAATTAGTTTTATGCAGATTTTATTTTAGTTAAAAATATTAAATAGTATAATAAATAAAACCAATGATATTTTCTGTCTGCCATAACCGAAATTCACGTGTTAATTTTCTTATCAACGATCCTTAGAATCAGTGTTCAAACTCTCATGTTTCTCTCTCACAGTTTATACATTCTCATCATATAAAAGGCCTCTTGTGAACCATCAAAAAACACCCAAAAAAAAATAATTCTCCCTTCTCCTGTGTTTTCTTAAATTGCAAAAAAAAAAAAAATGAAGAGTAACACAAACACAAAAGTGATCGTGTTTCATCACCCCTCCATTGCATCAAAATCCGCCGCCATTCATCACCACCACCGCCTCTGGTTCATCTTCTTCCTCTCACTCTTCACTCTCGTCTTCTCCTTCACCCTCTTTACCTCTTCTCTCCACTCCTCCTCCGTCGTATCCCCATCTTTCCCGCCGCCCATCTCCGCCGCACTCCTCCAATACGTCTCCTCTGCCTCCGCCGCCGCAAACTCCTCCATGTCCCTCTCCGAACTCTCCGCCGTCTCCACCGCCATTCGCTCACTTTCCGGCGTCGACGGAGGTGTCAACCTCCTCGTCTTCGGCCTCACCCACGAATCCCTCCTCTGGAGATCCATCAATTTCCCCGGCCGGACCGTCTTCGTCGATGACAGCTCCTACGCCGTCTCCAAGTTCGAGCAGACAAATCCCGGGGTCGAAGCCTACGACATCGTTTTCTCCTCCAGGGTCTCTCAGGCGGGAGAGCTCCTCCGTTATTACAGGACACGACATGACTGCCGACCAGTTCAGAACCTCTTGTTCTCCGATTGCGAGCTTGCCATCAACGACCTCCCCAATTTTTTCTACGACACCGATTGGGATGTGATTCTGGTTGACGGGCCAAGTGGGTTCTCCGGCGAATCTCCGGGGAGGATGTCAGCGATCTTCACATCGGCGGTTTTGGCGAGGAGCAAACGAGAAGGAAAGAACAAGAAGACGGATGTCTTCGTGCATGAGTTCGGGAGAACAGTGGAGAGAGTTTACAGTGAGGAGTTTCTCTGCGAGGAGAATCTGGTGGAAGTCGTCGGAGAATTGGCGCATTTCTCGGTGGAAGCGGAGGCGGGGGGCGGCGGAACTGGTTCGCCGGAAATTATTCGGTTTTGTCGGAACTCAACGAGGTTGTCTGAGCCTTTCGCGCCGGTGATTGGTGGCGAGGATGACGAAGACGGTGGTGTTAACGCTGACTGATCGACTTCAGTGTACATCTGGGGCTCTTTTGTAATTAACGTAGTTTTCGAGGGTTAATGTTCAGTGTGTGTTTTTTTAATTTTGAAACAAAGTCAAACTTTGAGGAAAAAATGTCTGGAGCGAATCTAAAAGCAATTGATGAAAAGCATCAAACTATAAAAGAGTAGCATCTTATGATTTATTTTATCTGCATTTTCAGTATAATTTACATATTTTTTATACTTAGAACCTCAATCAGTAAACTACAAAAAAAAAACGTTACTGATTTTCTTAATAGAATCGTATATTTCACCTAAATTTACCATATATATATATATATATATATATATAAGTCCAACGAGAAACGGCATTCTAGATTCTATAATAAGGATCATCATTTATTTAATAAGCTATAGATATGGATAATTTTGAAGCGACGATCATCAAATACAAAACGCGATCCGAGGGCAGTTTTGCAACGTGCGTCGACATTTAGGCGCGTGTTTTGTACGCGCTGAACCGATTTCGCGCGTGTGGTTAGGGTCGCCGAAAAAGCTTACGTGGCAGACAGACAGAAGCAAAGCTCGGCCCTCGAGGCTAATTGCGTGAGATCATCGACACGTGCTGCACGTGACACAAAGCGAGAGAGAGAGAAAGATTGTCGGTGAGGGAGCACGGTGTGTTCGGTGGTCGCACATGTAGAGTAGTAGTATTAGACGAAACATTTGGGTTTGGGTTTTAATGGGCCCTTTGTTATGGGCCAACTATGGGCCAATAAGTTGTTGGTTGCAACACTTCCATGCGTTCGATGGAAAAAGTCATTACACAATGATACTCGGATGAGTTTTTTTTTTTAATAGAAACTTTTTACTTTTTATAGTATTTTTGTTCGTCTAAAAAATTAAAGTTTCAAACTTTATAAAATATTAAAAATCCTTAACTATTAAAAAATATCATTTGATTCGTTAGGTTTTTTTTATTAATATATATAGTTTTCGCTAATGTAAAATTTATATATAATAATGATAATTTAATATTATCCAATTTAAGTATAAGAACATAAACATAAGGGACAACTTTAATCGGATTAATAAACAACAAATTAAGGAGTCAATGTTGGTTAGACCAACCTATTACCATTTTTTTTGGGAGAGGGAGAGAGAGAGAGGGGTGTGTGCGCGTATATATATAGTACAATATATATAGTACATTTACTTTTAATCTAGTATTTGGTAATAAGAAAAAGCTTAATAAATATTATATTTTACACACACACGCATATATAATTATGTGTGTATATATATATATATGTTACATTTCCATTTCATTCTTTCCATTCGCTCTCATCCTAACCAATTACTCCCTCCGTTTAAATTTATAAGTCGTTTAAGAGTATTTTTTTTGTTTTAAAATAAATGACATTTTCCTACTTCCAATGTACTTTTCAATATTTCTTCCAAATTTGCCCATTATTAATAGTAGTCAAATACGAATTCTACATGTATAATAATTTTACACAATTTTCTATTTTAATACTCTAATAATTGTTCATCAATTAAATATGTTTAATTTTTTTAATCTTATTTAAATCTGTATGGATTACACTAAAAAACTAAACTTCAAATAATTTTATAATTCATCAAATTCATCGCTCTTCAAAATTTGTAAAATTTGTAGAAGAAATATTTTCTCTTTCTTCATGAACGCCATCAAAATTTTCAGAATTTATTGGAATTTTGTTTAAATCAAATAAAAACTCTCTCTCTCCGCTTACAAGTGAAAAATTTAAATCAATATTATAAGAAGACATGAAAAAAGTTTGTTTGTTTCTGAGTGTTATAATCCAATATATAGACATTTGATATTTGTGGTTTTGTTGTTTTGGTCTAAATTTAAATTTTTACAGAAAAAATTTGAAAACACCAAATAATGTTCATTTTTCAAGTTTACAAATTAAATTGTTGATTTATTGGGAAAGATAATGATAATATATTCTATCATTAATAAGACTAATTAATAAGGGTATTTTAGACAAAATATTTTTTTCCTTAATATGTGTGTCTAATGCTAAAACGTCTTACAAACTTAAACGGAGGGAGTATTATCATTATCTTTCCCAATAAATCAACAATTTAATTTGTAAACTTGAAAAATGAACATTATTTGGTGTTTTCAAATTTTTTCTGTAAAAATTTAAATTTAGACCAAAACAACAAAACCACAAATATCAAATGTCTATATATTGGATTATAACACTCAGAAACAAACAAACTTTTTTCATGTCTTCTTATAATATTGATTTAAATTTTTCACTTGTAAGCGGAGAGAGAGAGTTTTTATTTGATTTAAACAAAATTCCAATAAATTCTGAAAATTTTGATGGCGTTCATGAAGAAAGAGAAAATATTTCTTCTACAAATTTTACAAATTTTGAAGAGCGATGAATTTGATGAATTATAAAATTATTTGAAGTTTAGTTTTTTAGTGTAATCCATACAGATTTAAATAAGATTAAAAAAATTAAACATATTTAATTGATGAACAATTATTAGAGTATTAAAATAGAAAATTGTGTAAAATTATTATACATGTAGAATTCGTATTTGACTACTATTAATAATGGGCAAATTTGGAAGAAATATTGAAAAGTACATTGGAAGTAGGAAAATGTCATTTATTTTAAAACAAAAAAAATACTCTTAAACGACTTATAAATTTAAACGGAGGGAGTA